GAAAAATGATTTTCAAAGTTATCAGGAAATACTCAGCAAATACGAAGCTAGCAATATTCATATGCTGGAGTATAGCTTAGAACAAACCTTTCCTTCTCATCTCTCTTTCCTTGTTATTGCTCCAAAAGCCTATTTTTCTCCCATCTGTATTTATCTTCAGCAGCATGAGATATTTGCCCCAGTTTTTGAGACAAAAATGAATTTTGTCTCTATCAATTAGATTATCTTTCTGTTCTTTTAATTCTTACTCAATAATAACATATTCTCAAATTATAGCTGGATAAGCATATGTCTGGCTTTTCTTAAACACCTTCAGGAAATTTCTCTTCAGAAAGTTACTGGTTTGGGTTATCAGGCCATCAAGGCAATTTCTTCTTTTCTCACAATTTATATTCAACTAAAATTTGCTGTGTGATTTTTACTTCATTGATTTTAATTTTTAAATTCCAAAATAATCCATGTCATAGTTATGTTATATAGAACCAGGCTTTGAATAGCTCATAGCTTCTAAATTTTAGCAACTTTAAAGGTTCCCCCCCCCCAGCTTTATACTTCAGAACCTTTTATTCCCTCAAAATAAATTTTTATGAGGAAAAAAAAAAAAAAGCAAGGTTGGAGTCTCAAATGAAACTGTCTAAAATCAAGTATGCATACCTAAATTGTTTTACCTGTTTTTTCTGTGATGGTAAGCACAAGTGAATGTAGGTAAATTAGATGTTTGCATTGGTGACTGAAAAATTATTTCATGGAGGAATATTAGTTCTTGTCATGTGTTTTGAATAGGATTTTAAAAGTCGTGTGACTTAGGAATACATTGGTTTTCAGTGAGACTTTTTTTTTTTTTTGCTTAGTTTACATCTAACTATAGTAAATTCAGTTGGCCAGGGACTGTGCTCTATACCAACGATAAATCTCAGGCACCAAGGCCGACTGGCATCACACAATTTATGTCTACACAGCTAAATTCTTTTTCTGTAAAGTATATTTACAATAAATTTACAGTTCTTCCTCCCTTTATTGCTTTGCTATGTGTACTAGTTGGCTTGTGGTATTTAAGTATCTGAGTATGAAAATACTTTGATTTCTGCAATGTTGTATACAATATGCACCATGTATAGAGACAGCAGTAATGTAAATTGCAAATGGAAGGCATAATTTTTCAAAGGTAGGCATGTCTTTGAAAAATGTCTGTAGCTATATGACTAATGCATGGCTTGACTGAATAAACATTCTGCATATTGTCAGCTATTCGTATGGCTATGTATTTGTGCACATACATGCAAAGTATTTTGCACAACCAAGTGGTGTTAATGCTTGCTGTTAATAGATGGTTGAAAATCACTCCTGTGTGACCAGAAAGATTTAAGCTGGTAGCTGCCACTGTGTCTGAATTACGTTAAAAAAGAAAGAAAGAATGCTGTAAATGTACTGTACTGATGTAAGCACTTTCTATTTATGTAGTTTCTGAATGTGCTGTAGGCTATCATTGGCATATTTTTTCCCCTTGTGCTTCACTAGAGATTTCCACCTGGGAAATCAATCACACCAGCTCCTGGCACATATAATGAACCACGCACAGCTCTCGAGTCCTACAAAACATCAGGAATGAAAAAGATCTATTTGGTCAAACTGCTGTTCGATTTACTCGAGACTGCAAGCTAGAAAAAACACCAGGTTTGCAGTTAATCCAAATACTGCTGGTATTCAGGGTACGTAACCTAATATTAGTAAGACTGATACTCTAGGACATCAGTAATTAATCTTGTAATTGAAAATACAGTACATATGAAATTAATTTGAAATGAAAATACTCTAAGAATTAGAGAAAATGTACATATTGGATTTTGGCCAAAGGAATGCAAATATGGTTTCCAACTCACCATTATTTTGGGTTTCTAGGAAATCTGAACACTTATCTATGCAAACTGATTTATAATAGTATGTTCGGTTTACTTAATTTATAGGATTGCTACCTAATGAAGAAGCAATATGAATAGCATCTGGGGATGCCGGATTTCTTCTTTTTCCCCATTTAGGGCTATTATTAAATAAGGCTGTTCCTCTAAAATACAAGCTCTGTAGCTAACTATCAACAAAATACCAAAGATGCAATCTTAATATGGAAAGCATGACTTTACGTAAGTGAATACATGAATAGTGAATTATGCTTTCACTCTACTGGCAAGATTGTATCTCACACCAGGTTAGTAGTGGTATGTGGATGGAAGGGCAAGTGGGAGAATGCATCTCCAAAAGACACATTCTCATAGCATGCTCTTTTGTGGTTGATGCATGATTATGTAAAGTCAGTGGTACTTGGTGGCTTTCCCAGTTCTTTTTGGTCATCTGATGTGACCAGTCACATTGTTGAACAGAGACGTGGTGCCCTCTGTAGCTTTTTTGCATTTGCTTCTCTTTGTTTTGTCCTCAAGTACTCATGTGTCATGTGAGTCATCTGCAACTCGGCGGTTTCCTTGAAGCTCACTTTTTGCTCTGCATGACAAATGTAGCGGTTGTGTTTTATCTACCGACTTGCATGTCAGCTGCCTGTGCCATCTATGTAAATTATGTGTGTCCTACCACTATTTTATCTGCATTTACACCCTGCACAGAAAAGAGGGAAACATTCAGAAATGCCTTCTGAATGACACCACAATGTCATCCTCAGATCTCATCACACACCCGGTCTCAGACCCTGATCAGTCAGAATGAGAGGTATTGTCCTTGGCACCTTCTACGTTTTCTGTGCTGAACTGCATGAATGAGCTGAAGCAATTAATTTAAGAGACTGAGCAGAAGATCTTTTTCGTACCCCACCATACTTTGGGGTGAATGTTCTGAGGCTTTTTGGAGGTGTGTGTGCTGATAGTAATTACAGAGACGCAAGATACCATGATACCATGTATTTAAGTTTTTGATGTAAAAACCCTTGTCTGATTCTTCTGAATAATGTTGAGGACATTACTCAGAAGGTGATACTCATTCTTTCTATATTTACCAGTGCTGCTGAGGATACAGTCTTAACTCCTCTCTCCTTTGCTGTTGACAGATGTTAATTTTGAAATAGCTTTTCAGCTCACCTGTCAACTCCTTACTAGCAAGCCTTTAAAGTATACCTGGAAGCCTTATGCTTGTCCTCTTCTGTTGAACATAGCTGTGCATCACATTAGATGCCTCAATTCTAAACACCGTCATCAGAGATTACCCAGTACAATTTGCTTCCCTCTTATCAGTCCAAATATTTTATTAGCTTCTGAAGCCTACTTTAGTACAACGCAAAATCTCCATTGTTATGTGAGTCTGTACAGTAGTTTCCCCTCTACCAAAAAAAAAAAAAAAAAGAAAAGAAAAAGGGGATAGGGAGATTTCCAGAAGAATTACCTTTTCAGACCATAAAGAGGAGGGCAACCCATATTGGGCTTGGACCGATGATGTTTAGTGTAGCTCTGAAATCAGTTACAGCAAAAAAGCCTTTTTACCTCCAGAAAGATTTCACACCATGGAAGACCTGATTCAGCACTTAAATGGTCATTGTATCCCAGTGGTGAAATCCCCATAGTAATGAAAATGAACATTTAAAAAAATGTATATTTGGCATGTGTAAGGACAGTAGCATTTGGATCTTCAGCTCCTCGATGTTTACTTTTTTTGGAAAAACAAGATTTTTGTACTCCTGACCCTGCTGATTATCAGATGACTGTAAAAAATACGTCTTTAAAAAGAAAGTAAAGAAGATTAAAAATGCCTGAGAATTTTAGAAGTTATTTTATTTTTTTTCCAAATGAGTAATACTTTTGAAGAGTTATTTGTATTTAGTGAAAAAGAGAACTAACCAATGAGAAGAGAGCTAGGTATTGAGTATGCCCAGATAAACATGCCTACACTTCTGTTCCCGCATTTATATTTTTGCTTTTTTGTAGAAATTATGAGTTTAAAGGCAAAACCAATCATTTTTGACACTTTTTGTCGTATAAAGCAGAATGTATTTTACTCACAATGGTGTTAAATCTGGGTTTTTCTGTGCAGTTAAAAGGACAACTTATGATTATGAAGTTACCTAAATGTTAGAGAAGAAATGGCAAAAAAGATTGGTGGTGAATTAGACATTTTACTAGTTGTTTTTGGAATAACAAGTTCTGAGGCTCTTCAGCTTTCCTACATAAATTTTTGTGGCATAGTCTTTCTGTTCTTTGTCACAACTTCCTTATCTCTATTTCAAAATAATAATCCCTTGAAAATATGTTATTCACTACTTGCTTAATGTGTCATGGAGTCTTGTATTACAACCTGGTTCTGTCTAAATCATCATACTGAAGGGAGTAACAATTTAAGGACATGATTAATTCTAAGCATTGTAAAGTTCCATTGCCAGAGTTCCATGTTTATGTTGAATCACAGCTGAAAGCAAAATATATTATCATCTGATTATATTCACAGATTAATAGCCTATTGTTTTTGAAATATATAAACTTAAATTGTTAGTCCTTCTGCCCTAATTTCCAAGAGAATCATGCTCATTCATCATTGCTGCTATTTGAATACTTAAATCTAATTTGATTAAAGTGTAGAGTATAAAGACATAGTTTAACATGCTAAAATGTGAGAAATGTGATTAGGAAGTGGATAAGTTAGGAAGGTAAGATAAAGATCACGGTAATGGGATAATGAAAAATTTTTAAAAACCTAGAGCATCATATATGTTTACAGTAAACCCCTGTATCCTCTTTAGCAGTAAGAAGAGCCTTAAAACTAGCACAAATTTTTACCTCAATATTCAACATAAAGATCTGTTTCCTACAAAGATTAAGCTGCTATAAAAGAATAAATCTGGAGGTTGGAGTGTGTTTTGTCCCTTTCCATTTGCCACACTTAAGCAGTAAATGCTCTATTGTTTAGGGGCTAAATTTGTGCTACGCTGCTGATGTCTGAGGCGGTCTCATTCTCTGATCGTTAAAAACATGACCATTGCTCCCTTTCATACCTGGTTTTCCTATCCACAGAAATCGAGATGATGGTTTGTGCCCAGTCACATCAGGATGAGGAATCAGTGTGCAGGTAAGGAATGTGCTTTGACCCCGAGGTGTAGAAACACGTGTATCCCACAGTGTAGACATTTCTTGAATGAGTTCTTCTTTGTATTAGTAATTTAGCTCTCTGTTATACTGCAGTATAACTTTTTACTAGCTTTCGTATGCTTGCATGTGTAACAAAATATCCCTTGTTGGAATATTGACCTCTAGATCTAGCAGCTAGGATCATGTTACTTCAGCTAAGAGAGTCCGCTCTATTAGGCTGTATTTTTTGTTCTGGTGCCGAAGTTAGAAAAAGAGCCACGATAAAGTTTACTTCCCTTTACAGCACAGTTTCATGATTAGCGTTCAAGTCCTCTTTAGGTCTATACTGAATTCCTTTACCTCCTGTTTTATCTTTTTGTTACAGATTCCCTATAATAAATCATGCATTTAGACTTTAGCATAGAATAATCTTTCTGCAATTTTAAAGTATGGCTACAAATAGCTCGACAGACGATTCAATGTGTTTCTTATAAAGTAATTTTAAGGAAAAGAGAAGAAACTAAGCAAAGTTTACCAGTCTTGCAGAACACACCAGTGACTAGCATTATCACCTGTGCTTTTCTTTGAAAAGTTCTTGATCAAGAGCAGATTATTTTGCAGCCAGAAGATGCATCTAGGGATTTAAATTTTATAGAAATACACTTCCACACATCTACTCAAAGAGAAACTTCACTAGGTGATAATCCCACCTCCGTTTGTAGAAAATAATTAATTACGGTGTTTTCAACTACACTGACAATGATAAAATGTAATACAACATTGCCTGATTTAACAGTTGGTAATTTTATGCCATACTTTTGGTTTTACAGAATCCTTGGTACTGCTTTCTGCTTACAGTATTTATAAATGTTCTATTACTCATTCAAGTATGTTTTTACACAATAAAATCAATTTTTAAATGTACTCCTCCCTTTTCTGTACATTTTACTTTATAACATTTTGTAGAAGGAAAAATACATTTAATGACTTTTATTTAAATAAAGATGTAAAATTTAGCTAAGAACTAAAAAAAATTAAATTACAAAATTACCGCTTTCCTCAATTGTCAGATGGTTAAGGTGTTCTACCATTCATGCTCTCTCAGATTCTTTGTTAGCAAATATGCTATGTGACCATCTGAGAATCCTCCTAAAAGGCAAAAGGATGCATTTTGCCAAATAGATTAGCTGCTGGGATAGATTTTTCTGAGTGTTGCAAAAATGGAAATAAGTGAGTTCTCCCAGGTGTTAATCAGCCAAACTAAACTGCTCACATATATTATCATGGCAATTAATTGTAGATATATTTAGAGATGACACTTGTTTAATAAAGGGCAGAACAGTACACTGAAGATACTTCATGTTTGCAGGCCTATATAATAAAACCAGTTGCTAGCAAAGATTGGTGATTCCTGTCTTCATTTTGAAAATTTTTACTTAGCCTTTCAGGACAACGGAGCATACACATGTAACTAACATGTGCATACACATAGATATGAGATTCTACCGATTGATTGAAGTAGACTGCTAAGAAGTTCTGAACCTTAATGTAAAAATCTCTTTAAGCCAAAAACGTGCCTAAAGAATTAAAAAGAATAAAATGTCTGCAGTTAACATTTTAAAATTTCAATATTGGGAAATATTATTCAATATTATTAAAATATTTCAAAATTTAAAAGTATTTTTCACAAGACGTAATCTCAGGATTACTGGTTTTTGTTCTTTCTTCATTAAGATCTTTGTATACAAACTTCTTGGAAGGAAAAAAAGAGTTGCATAAAAGTTGTGAGTAGTAGAAGAATATAAATAAGGAAAGATACATGCTTCTAAATCAACTTCACTCTTCCCTACAGCAGTTGTATATCTGTGGCTGGTTCAGCACCCACAGGAGTACTGCCTCTTTTCTCTGCTAACATGGATTCTAGTTTTTTGGAAAGAACTTGTGAGTTTGTAGACTTATGGCTCTAGCCAATTGCTTTGACTTCTCTTTCCTGATCCTAGGGCTTATTGTCATCCTGTTTTTTGGTTTGTTTTTTTTTTGGGGGGTGGGGGGGTGGAGGATTTTTTTTTTTTTTGGTGTTTAAGAGCAACTTTTAATGTCATATATCAATTCTTGTGACAAATTCCATACATGTGGCACTGTATATTGGAAGCCCTGCAGTGTTACTGTTGTCATGTAGATCTAAAGACATCTGAAACAACTTCTACCTTGGGTACCTATTGTGAAGTTATTTGTCCAATTATTCTAATAAACAGCAGTACTGAAATTTTGGTTAGAAAATAAAGATAGCTCTGGTAATTTGAATCAAATATCAGTTGAAGTCCAAATACATGCTCTAGCTGCAGCACTGTTGCTATGTTTTTCTTAAAATATGTCAATACTTAGATCTTATTAATCATGAAAACTGGGTACTTCTATGCAGATGTTTTCCAGGAAGGAAACAAATTTCTGCTTTGAGATTTTGATTGTTACTGTGAAAGTGAGAAACACAATCATTTTAGAATGATGAAAAATACCTTGGCCTCTTTTTTTTGGGGGGGAAGTATATTTGGAATAAACCAATAGAAATGCATTTTTCTCTCACTTCTCGCTGTCATACCTGTTTGCCAGCCAACAAACTGAAAGATTGGCTTCCTTTTTGACTAATTTTGGCTATGACAGCTTCAGTATACTCACTTATTAATCAGAAAAATTGTTATTTTACTGCATGAGAAACAATGAATCACTTCCCTGTGTCATATTTTATTATTGATTGAGTTTTCTAAGGGTGACAAATTCTAGTACTTTTTTGTATCCCAGATCTTTAGCGGATAGCTTACTTGTATTTATATTTTGAACAGCTGCTTAAAAATGAAATGTCTGGTGTACTGGGTTTGTGTGGCAAGGTTTTGGTAGCGGGGGGTGGGGGCTGCAGGTGTGGCTTCTGTAAGAAGCTGCTGGGAGCTGCCCCCATGTCTGACAGAGCTAATGCGAGCTGGCTCCAAGACAGACCCACCGCTGGCCAAGGCTGAGCCCATCAGTGACAGTGGTAGTGCCTCTGGGATAACATATTTAAGAAGGGGGGAAAAAAAAAAAACCCAACTGCGCACC